CTGTTCTTTCACACTATTTTCAAGCTTTTTTTCTAGATTTTAAAGCAGTACGAGCTATACTTTGACTGAGACCTCAACATTCCAATAAAACCATGTTTGGTGCTAAATTCGAGCGGAGCAAAAAACTTTCAATTGTGCCGTAAAATTAAGGGTCAAGGCTGTTCTTTCACACGATTTTAAAGCTTTTTTTCTAGATTTTAAAGTAGTACGAGCTATACTTTGACTGAGACCTCAACATATCAATCATAACATGTTTGGTGCTTAATACGAGCGAAGAAAAAAACTTTCAATTGTGCCGTAAAATTAAGTGTCAAGGCTGTTCTTTCACACTATTTTAAAGCATTTTTTCTAGATTTTAAAGCAGTACGAGCTATACTTTTACTGAGACCTCAACATTTTATTAATACCATGTTTGGTGCTTAATACGAGCGGAGACAAAACTTTCAATTGTGCCGTAAAATTAAGAGTCAAGGCTGTTCTTTCACATTATTTTAAAGTTTTTTTTCTACATTTCAAAGCATTACGAGCTATACTTTGACTGAGACCTCAACATTTCAATAATACCATGTTTGGTGCTTAATATGAGCGAAGCAAAAAACTTTCAATTGTGCCGTAAAATTAAGAGTCAAGGCTGTTCTTTCACACTATTTTTAAGCTTTTTTTCTAGATTTTAAAGCAGTACGAGCTATACTTTGACTGAGACCTCAACATTTCAATAATACCATGTTTGGTGCTTAATACGAGCGGAGCAAAAAACTTTCAATTGTGCCGTAAAATTAAGAGTCAAGGCTGTTCTTTCACTCTATTTTCAAGCTTTTTTTCTAGATTTTAAAGCAGTACGAGCTATACTTTGATTGAGACCTCAACATTTCAATAATACCATGTTTGGTGCTTAATACGAGCGGAGCAAAAAACTTACAATTGTGCCGTAAAATTAAGAGTCAAGGCTGTTCTTTCACACTATTTTAAAGCTTTTTTTCTAGATTTTAAAGCAGTACGAGCTATTCTTTGACTGAGATCTCAACATTTCAATAATACCATGTTTGGTGCTAAATTCGAGCGGAGCAAAAAACTTTCAATTGTGCCGTAAAATTAAGATTCAAGGCTGTTCTTTCACACTATTTTCAAGCTTTTTTTCTAGATTTTAAGCAGTACGAGCTATACTTTGACTGAGACCTCAACATTTCAATAATACCATGTTTGGTGCTTAATACGAGCGGAGCAAAAAACTTTCAATTGTGCCGTAAAATTAAGAGTCAAGGCTGTTCTTTCACACTATTTAAAAGCATTTTTTCTAGATTTAAGAGCAGCACGAGCTATACTTTGACTGAGATCTCAACATTTCAATAATACCATGATTGGTGCTAAATTCCAGCGGAGCAAAAAACTTTCAATCGTGCCGTAAAATTAAGAGTCAAGGCTGTTCTTTCACACTATTTTAAAGCTTTTTTTCTAGATTTTAAAGCAGTACGAGCTATACTTTGACTGAGATCTCAACATTTTAATAATACCATGTTTGGTGCTAAATTCGAGCGGAGCAAAAAACTTTCAATTGTGCCGTAAAATTAAGAGTCAAGGCTGTTCTTTCACACTATTTTCAAGCTTTTTTTCTAGATTTTAAAGCAGTACGAGCTATACTTTGACTGAGACCTCAACATTTCAATAATACCATGTTTGGTGCTTAATATGAGCGGAGCAAAAAACTTTCAATTGTGCCGTAAAATTAAGAGTCAAGGCTGTTCTTTCACACTATTTTCAAGCTTTTTTTCTAGATTTTAAAGCAGTACGAGCTATACTTTGACTGAGACCTCAACATTTCAATAATACCATGTTTGGTGCTTAATACGAGCGGAGCAAAAAACTTTCAATTGTGCCGTAAAATTAAGAGTCAAGGCTGTTCTTTCACACTATTTTAAAGAATTTTTTCTAGGTTTAAGAGCAGTACGAGCTATACTTTGACTGAGATCTCAACATTTCAATAATACCATGATTGGTGCTAAATTCGAGCGGAGCAAAAAACTTTCAATTGTGCCGTAAAATTAAGAGTCAAGGCTGTTCTTTCAAACTATTTTAAAGCTTTTTTTCTAGATTTTAAAGCAGTACGAGCTATACTTTGACTGAGATCTCAACATTTCAATAATACCATGTTTGGTGCTAAATTCGAGCGGAGCAAAAAACTTTCAATTGTGCCGTAAAATTAAGAGTCAAGGCTGTTCTTTCACACTATTTTAAAGCATTTTTTCTAGATTTAAAAGCAGTACGAGCTATACTTTGACTGAGATCTCAACATTTCAATAATACCATGATTGGTGCTAAATTCGAGCGGAGCAAAAAACTTTCAATTGTGCCGTAAAATTAAGAGTCAAGGCTGTTCTTTCACACTATTTTAAAGCATTTTTTCTAGATTTAAGAGCAGCACGAGCTATACTTTGACTGAGATCTCAACATTTCAATAATACCATGATTGGTGCTAAATTCGAGCGGAGCAAAAAACTTTCAATCGTGCCGTAAAATTAAGAGTCAAGGCTGTTCTTTCACACTATTTTAAAGCTTTTTTTCTAGATTTTAAAGCAGTACGAGCTATACTTTGACTGAGATCTCAACATTTCAATAATACCATGTTTGGTGCTAAATTCGAGCGGAGCAAAAAACTTTCAATTGTGCCGTAAAATTAAGAGTCAAGGCTGTTCTTTCACACTATTTTCAAGCTTTTTTTCTAGATTTTAAAGCAGTACGAGCTATACTTTGACTGAGACCTCAACATTTCAATAATACCATGTTTGGTGCTTAATATGAGCGAAGCAAAAAACTTTCAATTGTGCCGTAAAATTAAGAGTCAAGGCTGTTCTTTCACACTATTTTCAAGCTTTTTTTCTAGATTTTAAAGCAGTACGAGCTATACTTTGACTGAGACCTCAACATTTCAATAATACCATGTTTGGTGCTTAATACGAGCGGAGCAAAAAACTTTCAATTGTGCCGTAAAATTAAGAGTCAAGGCTGTTCTTTCACACTATTTTAAAGCATTTTTTCTAGATTTAAGAGCAGTACGAGCTATACTTTGACTGAGATCTCAACATTTCAATAATACCATGATTGGTGCTAAATTCGAGCGGAGCAAAAAACTTTCAATTGTGCCGTAAAATTAAGAGTCAAGGCTGTTCTTTCACACTATTTTAAAGCTTTTTTTCTAGATTTTAAAGCAGTACGAGCTATACTTTGACTGAGATCTCAACATTTCAATAATACCATGTTTGGTGCTAAATTCGAGCGGAGCAAAAAACTTTCAATTGTGCCGTAAAATTAAGAGTCAAGGCTGTTCTTTCACACTATTTTAAAGCATTTTTTCTAGATTTAAAAGCAGTACGAGCTATACTTTGACTGAGATCTCAACATTTCAATAATACCATGATTGGTGCTAAATTCGAGCGGAGCAAAAAACTTTCAATTGTGCCGTAAAATTAAGAGTCAAGGCTGTTCTTTCACACTATTTTAAAGCATTTTTTCTAGATTTAAGAGCAGTACGAGCTATACTTTGACTGAGATCTCAACATTTCAATAATACCATGATTGGTGCTAAATTCGAGCGGAGCAAAAAACTTTCAATTGTGCCGTAAAATTAAGAGTCAAGGCTGTTCTTTCACACTATTTTAAAGCTTTTTTTCTAGATTTTAAAGCAGTACGAGCTATACTTTGACTGAGACCTCAACATTTCAATAATACCATGTTTGGTGCTTAATACGAGCGGAGCAAAAAACTTTCAATTGTGCCGTAAAATTAAGAGTCAAGGCTGTTCTTTCACACTATTTTAAAGCATTTTTTCTAGATTTAAGAGCAGCACGAGCTATACTTTGACTGAGATCTCAACATTTCAATAATACCATGATTGGTGCTAAATTCGAGCGGAGCAAAAAACTTTCAATCGTGCCGTAAAATTAAGAGTCAAGGCTGTTCTGTCACACTATTTTAAAGCTTTTTTTCTAGATTTTAAAGCAGTACGAGCTATACTTTGACTGAGATCTCAACATTTCAATAATACCATGTTTGGTGCTAAATTCGAGCGGAGCAAAAAACTTTCAATTGTGCCGTAAAATTAAGAGTCAAGGCTGTTCTTTCACTCTATTTTCAAGCTTTTTTTCTAGATTTTAAAGCAGTACGAGCTATACTTTGATTGAGACCTCAACATTTCAATAATACCATGTTTGGTGCTTAATACGAGCGGAGCAAAAAACTTACAATTGTGCCGTAAAATTAAGAGTCAAGGCTGTTCTTTCACACTATTTTAAAGCTTTTTTTCTAGATTTTAAAGCAGTACGAGCTATACTTTGACTGAGACCTCAACATTTCAATAATACCATGTTTGGTGCTTAATACGAGCGGAGCAAAAAACTTTCAATTGTGCCGTAAAATTAAGAGTCAAGGCTGTTCTTTCACACTATTTTAAAGCTTTTTTTCTAGATTTTAAAGCAGTACGAGCTATACTTTGACTGAGATCTCAACATTTCAATAATACCATGTTTGGTGCTAAATTCGAGCGGAGAAAAAAACTTTCAATTGTGCCGTAAAATTAAGAGTCAAGGCTGTTCCCTGGTAGAAAAAATTGTTGCCAATAATTACCAATAATCAAGATTATTGTGAAAATATTTGTGCAATATTTTCACAATAACTTGGAAATAAATTGTTATCAAAAATTATTGTCACAATATTGGAAAAGAATATTTTAATTAAATATTGCAAAAATATTTTCAAAATATTTTGTGTCAATAACAATTGTCTTAATTTTTTTTATTGTTTGCAAATATTGTAACAATATTTATTGCCATTAAAATAACAACAATTTTTGTCTGCCAAATACTTATTGGTGGCCAATATTGTGAAAATATTTCCGCGAAATAACAGTGCAATGATTTAAAATACAATCAGATTGTTGGTAACCAATATTGTGAAAATATTTCAGTGCAACGAATACACAATAATATTCACAGTCACAACATGATTGGTCAGCAATATTTGAAAAATATTTTACGCCAATAACATGCACGTGCTAAATTTGAAAGTTCGCGCGGTTCCTGCCTCGCGCACGCGCATGAAGTCGGGTGGCAAGCGAGCGTTCACGCCGCTCAAATCAGAGATAACAAACATGGCCGTCGCGATTTTAAGAAAACGAATGTGATGGCATGGAATTCGGCCTCTGCAGGGTAGTTTTCGGGGTTTTCAACCGTCGGCGTTGCGTGTGACACTTCGGCAATTATCGGCTTACTCGCAGAGACGATAAAAACTGTAAGTTTTCGAGTTTTTCATTCATAAAACTAGTGAAATGCGAAAGCATGTGCTCTATCATTTTCGTCTTGTCCTAAAAGTTGTCAATGTTTTTTTAAGTTAAGGTGTCTTTTTATGAAAGCATCATGTGCATCACTGGCTAAGCTTAATTAATATTGTATAACTTATTGCTTTTTTCTTTAATTAAACTTATACAATAAAACCAAACCAATATATTCACCCCGTTTTATTTATTGAATTGGAGATAAATAATTACAAATAATTCCACAAACATGAAATATATACATTAATTTTGGGCACCCTGTCTCTTTGTACTGAATTACATAGGCAGACTTTTTGTGACGCAGCCTGTATACAGTCTTGCTTTGCCTACTTTATATGCCTCTTTTAATCAATTTTAATTCAACAGAGTGCCAGCTGCTCGATTGTTCGTCATGTTAAGACCGATAATTCTGCGTGAAAGGATGATGAACTAAAGAAATAAATACAGAATCGCTGCTGCTGTCTTTTGGTGTCTTTTAAGAAGAAAGCGCGCAGGTATGCCAAGTGCAAAATTATAATATAAAAATTGGAAGAAAATTTGTTAGATTTTTGTGTCTTGCTTCATATTCTCTCAAGTTATTTTTGTCATATTATTACATTTTTAGCTAATTAAAATTTGTATTTTAATTTTACAGAAATAATAATGAGTCGGCCTAACGAAGATAACTTGAGTGGACCACCTACCTGTGTAAAGCCCCTGGCTATTGTGAAATTTATTGACCATCAGAAAATCAGGCCAAAGCCGTATTTTCCACCCATGGTCGTGGTTTCTCAATTGTGGCTGAATAAAGCTCGGACTGTTTGCTCCATGCCACCTGACCTCGATCATGTACCATCTTTCATGGATTTGGCACTGCATTGTAATGAGGTGAAAAGTGATGAGATGATACGTTACGCTGTTGAATATATTGCATCAGCTTGTAAGTTTTATTTTAAAATATTTGTATGCCCTTGCCTGCATAAATTTTTATCCACAAATAAAGTATGAAAGCAATAATTTAAAAATATATTCAACAGCCACCATAGCGAGTGGGGAGGAAAAAATTCGTTTGCTGAAAAGACTTCAAAAACCTATCCGTAACTCCTCAGAATCAGAAAGAGAGGGAAGATTTAAGATGAAGAATAAATTACTGGAAGACTATGTCGTGGATGATGGCAGGTAAATAAATGTTCATATAGTTAGGTTATTCTGAAGTTATATACTCTCATGGTTTTAGGAAGAGTGGGAAGAAACGAAAAATTGTTATCACTGATTCGGAAGCCGAAAATAGTGATGAACCTTTGGTAGAGACAAAGAGGAAACTAGACAAAAATTCAAAGGTCGTCAATGACAATTTTGGTAATGATTACTTCAGTTGAAAAATAAAATTTATAATTAATTGCAATAAATAAACAAAAATCAAGACGCGTCCCCTGACGAAGAAGAGGATGAATCGTCTTCCAAGAACCAACTGGGCGACATAAACAATTCGATTGCACCTGACCTTGAAAATCAACTATCAAAGAATGATGAAAACACTGTGCCTCGAGTGTTGCAACAGAAAGGTAAATGATTAATGTACTATGTTCTTATCACTAATTTTTAGATTTTATATTTTGCCTATGTAGCCAGTGGAAGCAGCATGTCAACAGAAAATCTGTTGCACATTGATGGCTGTAAACATTGTCCTCATCGTAAGTGTAATTGGTATAAAACTAATTTAAGTTTTCATTAAAACTTTATAGATTGTCTGGGGTTTGAAAATTTCTTGGCGAAGTATGGTGCTAGTGTAGATGTCAAGTTTGATATTGTCAAGACTCGATTGGATAGTATTCTTGGCCGAGTGTCGGTCATTAGTGGCGAACGCCTGGGAAGAACAGAGAATCGCCTCCCATTTCCGTTGCCTATACCTGACATTGTTTCTCTGAAGAGCATGAACTCGTTTTTACTCTCAGATAGCAACAATGAAAAATTTGACTTATTGGTAAGAGCTTTTGTTAATTAATGCGATTTTGCATTTTATTAATTTTATTCAAATAAATAGGCGTCAATTGTAATGGGAGCATCTGAAGGCCGAACCATCGAGGATGTTACCAGAACTGGAATGGAGAAAATTCTGGGCGATAATGCCATGAAAAACCTTGTTAACAAAAACCCACACAAAATTAGAGGTGTATCCTCAAACAAAAAATCACTTCAGAAAGATTTTCCCAAAGTTCATCAACTCCTCACAAGTATGTAAAATGAAATTATAATTTAATTTACATGAAAACCTGCCTATTGAAACCTGCGCAAACTTTTGGTTTAATTTTTGACAAAAATTGCCTATTTCCTAGGTGCCTTCCGAGCAAAATGCGAAGCGAAGAAAATACAAATCTCTGAGAAAGAAATTAACACAGCAATGTCTGCCGTTCTTGCCCAGCGTCCTTTTAAGGACAGAAAAAGGAATGCTCGTCCAAATGATAATCTTCCAAAGAGCCCGTCCGCAGAGCAGCTTTCGCAAAGGAGCGAAAATTCATGTCAGTCAGATGAAGAACAGATCAAAAGTAAATTCAATAAATAAATAAGTTAAATTTCTAAATGCTTTAAATCCGTAATTAAACTGAACCAGCTGAATGCAATAATTATAAAGCATTTTTCAAGAGGGAGAGATTTGTTTTGATTTATAACGAACATGTTTTATTCCAGGCCCAACTTCAGAGAAACCGTCTGTCTTGTCATCCACCCACCTCAAAAGTCTTCGCACCCCTTATCAGCAAGGAACTCCATCGAGCAGCCGCTTAGCATTTAAAGCCGGGAATGCTGGCAAGTCGGACAAAGATCTACATCTCTACACACAGAGAAGCTCGTCATCAGGGAATAAAAGGAAGAAGTCTGAGAGCAGCGATTTAAGTGAATTCAGTGACCTTGAAGCTTTTGAGAAGTACCGCCGTGCGCTGAAAAAAAAGAAAGGAAAGACCGGAGCAGTCAGCAGTGATTCTGAGTAAATGAATCTTCATATAAGTTTACACAAAAGGAGACAAAATGCCAAAATATTCGTCAAAAGAGCGAAGTGCAATTTATCGGGCAAGAAAAAAAGCAATTGACAGTGTGCTTGAGAGAAGAAACAATTTTAGTGTTATGGAGCAAGTGAAAAATCCAAACAACGTTCTTCTGCCGCATCCAAATTCTCCGTCCCTAAGCAGCACTACTATAAGCTTTCAACAGATTCAACACAACTTCAACAATCATGACGTTTTGGATTATCACATAGAAAACTTTGAGGATGGAAACACTTCAATGGGAGCCACTACAAAAGGACATGTAGTCACATCCATACCAATTCAATCTACGGAGGAGGATCTACTAGAACGGTTAAATCTCTGGTACTTAACAAACAATAAGCATTGCCTTTCTTCTTATGATGAGCTCTTAAAAGTATTGAAAAACAGTCACCCAGAATTGCCGGTCTGTGCAAAAACTGCTTTGAAGTCTTTGAAATGTTCAACACTCACAGGAATGAAAAATTTTCGAGGCAAAATGGGGGGCTTCTACTTCTACACTGGATTTGTGAACAAGTTGACTGCGTTATGCTTGCACAACAAGGATTTGAGGAAAGAAATTGCATCACAAAAATTCATCAAGATCATAATTGGTATTGATGGAGTACCACTTTTCGAGCACTCCAAAGAAAAAGTTGGCGCGTGGGTGATTTGTGCGAAAATACTTTCAAAAAATTTTTACATACCTCCCATTACAATTGGTGCATTTGTTGGCACAAGCAAACCGGAGCGAAGCTTCCTTCAAGACGTAGTTGAAGAATTCTCTGTTATTTGCCAACAAAACTTCTGCTTTGAGATGGTACATGACGATGACAAAAAGTCACCTTGCTCGAAGACTCAAGTAAAGTTAATTGGAATATGTGCTGATGCACCTGCTCGGAGCATGATTAAAGAGACAGTATCATCTAATGCCACGGAGGGATGTGAACGCTGCTGTTCTAAGTCTCGGTGCTGCAATCATCGCATGTGTTACGTACCAGATCTTGCCTCCGACAAGATGCGAACTGACCAAGCGTTCCGCAAACTTCAGTACTCAGACCATCACAAATTAAAAGAAAAAGACCCACCTCCTATTTTTAAACTACCACAATTTGATCTCGTTAACTCTTTTTTTTTGGATGTCATGCACCTGGCTGACGAGGGCGTAGCAAAAAGGTTGCTCTCAAACTACTTTTGTGGCCCTAAAAAATTAAAAATCAGGACGAATGACTTGAAACAAATTGACCTAGATATGGAAAGTTGGAGAAGAGAACTCAAGAGTGACGACTTCCAGAGGCCTTTGACTAACATTGAATTTTTTACTGAATGGAAAGCAAGCAGTTTTCGTGATTTCTCTCTTTACTTCGGAATTGTTTTCCTCAAACCGTACCTGAACCCCAGTCAGTATCTCCATTTTTTAAAATTCTCCTGCGCAATGAGAACATTAAGGAACAAGAAACAATGCCTGGTGGAAAAATGTGTCAGTGATGCGGACAACATGCTGCGCGAGTTTGTGTCGGACTGGGACAAGATCATTGGACATCCAGACACAGTATTTTGTGTGCACAATTTAATTCACATTTCAAACGATGTCCGCCGTACAAATCTGCCTCTAGATGAACTCTCTGCCTACGCCTTCGAAAATGAGTACGGAAAATTAAAAAGTCTTGTTAAATCTTCCAACCAGCCTGCTGCTCAGCTTCAGAAGCGCCTGTACGAAAAAGAGCAAGTGTACCAGATTTACAAGATTTTTGAGCAGACTCCTGTTTTGAGTTCTGGGAAAGGAGGAGTGCTAAAGTCATTACGTTACAAAGGTTATGAAATATTTCCCGCAAGCAAAGGAGATTCATTCGTCATGCTCAGGTCTTCCCATAAAGTATATAAAGTGTTAAAAATTGTTAACAATGGAGAGATTTTGCTTGAGTCTGTTGAGTACCCTCGAGTCGGCGAATTTTTTTTACAGCCAATGAACTCGGCTAAACTGGGAATTTTCAAACTTGTGGAACCAGACAAATTGAGGCCACAAAAGCCAAAGAATTTGAAATTGCAAGAAATTTCTTGCAAAATTTATTTGGTGCGCTACAAAAAGTATTATATTTCATTTCCAGCTCTGCACTCCCTGTGATGTGTGTGTGTAATTCTGGTCGTAATTATTTTATATGTTATTCCATCAACATTATTTTTTTGTGTGCTTATCAAACAATATAATTGGCTTTTATTATTCTACAAAGAAATAAAAAATTGTTGCACGCTCAAATCTTCCGAGTGGTTCTGAGCAATAAAATGTGTCGTGTGTGATGCAATTAATTATTGTAATTATTGTTTGTACATGATTTCGTTTCTTTATTGCAACAATAAATGAACTCAAGTTTCACTACGTAACATTTTCCATTATTTTTAAAAAGTACCTTAATCACAAAAAGCAGTGTATATATTCGGATAAATTATTGGCAAAAACTTAATGCGAAATATTGACTTAACATTTTTAAGCATCATTGGTTACCAATATTTATACAACATTTAATCCTGTGATTTTGAATTATTGCTCAATTATTTTTTTCAAATATTTTCACAACAATTTAATTATTGCCACAATATTTTTGCAATATTGTGGCAATAATTTTTTCTACCAGGGTTCTTTCACACTATTTTCAAGCTTTTTTTCTAGATTTTAAAGCAGTACGAGCTATACTTTGACTGAGACCTCAACATTTCAATAATACCATGTTTGGTGCTTAATACGAGCGGAGCAAAAAACTTTCAATTGTGCCGTAAAATTAAGAGTCAAGGCTGTTCTTTCACACTATTTTAAAGCTTTTTTTCTAGATTTTAAAGCAGTACGAGCTATACTTTGACTGAGATCTCAACATTTCAATAATACCATGTTTGGTGCTAAATTCGAGCGGAGCATTAAACTTTCAATTGTGCCGTAAAATTAAGAGTCAAGGCTGTTCTTTCACTCTATTTTCAAGCTTTTTTTCTAGATTTTAAAGCAGTACGAGCTATACTTTGATTGAGACCTCAACATTTCAATAATACCATGTTTGGTGCTTAATACGAGCGGAGCAAAAAACTTACAATTGTGCCGTAAAATTAAGAGTCAAGGCTGTTCTTTCACACTATTTTAAAGCTTTTTTTCTAGATTTTAAAGCAGTACGAGCTATACTTTGACTAAGATCTCAACATTTCAATAATACCATGTTTGGTGCTAAATTCGAGCGGAGCAAAAAACTTTCAATTGTGACGTAAAATTAAGAGTCAAGGCTGTTCTTTCACTCTATTTTCAAGCTTTTTTTCTAGATTTTAAAGCAGTACGAGCTATACTTTGATTGAGACCTCAACATTTCAATAATACCATGTTTGGTGCTTAATACGAGCGGAGCAAAAAACTTACAATTGTGCCGTAAAATTAAGAGTCAAGGCTGTTCTTTCACACTATTTTAAAGCTTTTTTTCTAGATTTTAAAGCAGTACGAGCTATACTTTGACTGAGATCTCAACATTTCAATAATACCATGTTTGGTGCTAAATTCGAGCGGAGCAAAAAACTTTCAATTGTGCCGTAAAATTAAGAGTCAAGGCTGTTCTTTCACACTATTTTCAAGCTTTTTTTCTAGATTTTAAAGCAGTACGAGCTATACTTTGACTGAGACCTCAACATTTCAATAATACCATGTTTGGTGCTTAATACGAGCGAAGCAAAAAACTTTCAATTGTGCCGTAAAATTAAGAAACAAGGCTGTTCTTTCACACTATTTTAAAGCTTTTTTTCTAGATTTTAAAGCAGTACGAGCTATACTTTGACTGAGATCTCAACATTTCAATAATACCATGTTTGGTGCTAAATTCGAGCGGAGCAAAAAACTTTCAATTGTGCCGTAAAATTAAGAGTCAAGGCTGTTCTTTCACACTATTTTCAAGCTTTTTTTCTAGATTTTTAAGCAGTACGAGCTATACTTTGATTGAGACCTCAACATTTCAATAATACCATGTTTGGTGCTTAATACGAGCGGAGAAAAAAACTTACAATTGTGCCGTAAAATTAAGAGTCAAGGCTGTTCTTTCACACTATTTTAAAGCTTTTTTTCTAGATTTTAAAGCAGTACGAGCTATACTTTGACTGAGATCTCAACATTTCAATAATACCATGTTTGGTGCTAAATTCGAGCGGAGCAAAAAACTTTCAATTGTGCCGTAAAATTAAGAGTCAAGGCTGTTCTTTCACACTATTTTAAAGCATTTTTTCTAGATTTAAGAGCAGTACGAGCTATACTTTGACTGAGATCTCAACATTTCAATAATACCATGATTGGTGCTAAATTCGAGCGGAGCAAAAAACTTTCAATTGTGCCGTAAAATTAAGAGTCAAGGCTGTTCTTTCACACTATTTTAAAGCTTTTTTTCTAGATTTTAAAGCAGTACGAGCTATACTTTGACTGAGATCTCAACATTTCAATAATACCATGTTTGGTGCTTAATACGAGCGGAGCAAAAAACTTACAATTGTGCCGTAAAATTAAGAGTCAAGGCTGTTCTTTCACACTATTTTAAAGCTTTTTTTCTAGATTTTAAAGCAGTACGAGCTATACTTTGACTGAGACCTCAACATTTCAATAATACCATGTTTGGTGCTTAATACGAGCGGAGCAAAAAACTTTCAATTGTGCCGTAAAATTAAGAGTCAAGGCTGTTCTTTCACACTATTTTAAAGCTTTTTTTCTAGATTTTAAAGCAGTACGAGCTATACTTTGACTGAGATCTCAACATTTCAATAATACCATGTTTGGTGCTAAATTCGAGCGGAGCATTAAACTTTCAATTGTGCCGTAAAATTAAGAGTCAAGGCTGTTCTTTCACTCTATTTTCAAGCTTTTTTTCTAGATTTTAAAGCAGTACGAGCTATACTTTGATTGAGACCTCAACATTTCAATAATACCATGTTTGGTGCTTAATACGAGCGGAGCAAAAAACTTACAATTGTGCCGTAAAATTAAGAGTCAAGGCTGTTCTTTCACACTATTTTAAAGCTTTTTTTCTAGATTTTAAAGCAGTACGAGCTATACTTTGACTAAGATCTCAACATTTCAATAATACCATGTTTGGTGCTAAATTCGAGCGGAGCAAAAAACTTTCAATTGTGACGTAAAATTAAGAGTCAAGGCTGTTCTTTCACTCTATTTTCAAGCTTTTTTTCTAGATTTTAAAGCAGTACGAGCTATACTTTGATTGAGACCTCAACATTTCAATAATACCATGTTTGGTGCTTAATACGAGCGGAGCAAAAAACTTACAATTGTGCCGTAAAATTAAGAGTCAAGGCTGTTCTTTCACACTATTTTAAAGCTTTTTTTCTAGATTTTAATGCAGTACGAGCTATACTTTGACTGAGATCTCAACATTTCAATAATACCATGTTTGGTGCTAAATTCGAGCGGAGCAAAAAACTTTCAATTGTGCCGTAAAATTAAGAGTCAAGGCTGTTCTTTCACACTATTTTCAAGCTTTTTTTCTAGATTTTAAAGCAGTACGAGCTATACTTTGACTGAGACCTCAACATTTCAATAATACCATGTTTGGTGCTTAATACGAGCGAAGCAAAAAACTTTCAATTGTGCCGTAAAATTAAGAGTCAAGGCTGTTCTTTCACACTATTTTAAAGCTTTTTTTCTAGATTTTAAAGCAGTACGAGCTATACTTTGACTGAGATCTCAACATTTCAATAATACCATGTTTGGTGCTAAATTCGAGCGGAGCAAAAAACTTTCAATTGTGCCGTAAAATTAAGAGTCAAGGCTGTTCTTTCACACTATTTTCAAGCTTTTTTTCTAGATTTTTAAGCAGTACGAGCTATACTTTGATTGAGACCTCAACATTTCAATAATACCATGTTTGGTGCTTAATACGAGCGGAGAAAAAAACTTACAATTGTGCCGTAAAATTAAGAGTCAAGGCTGTTCTTTCACACTATTTTAAAGCTTTTTTTCTAGATTTTAAAGCAGTACGAGCTATACTTTGACTGAGATCTCAACATTTCAATAATACCATGTTTGGTGCTAAATTCGAGCGGAGCAAAAAACTTTCAATTGTGCCGTAAAATTAAGAGTCAAGGCTGTTCTTTCACACTATTTTAAAGCATTTTTTCTAGATTTAAGAGCAGTACGAGCTATACTTTGACTGAGATCTCAACATTTCAATAATACCATGATTGGTGCTAAATTCGAGCGGAGCATTAAACTTTCAATTGTGCCGTAAAATTAAGAGTCAAGGCTGTTCTTTCACTCTATTTTCAAGCTTTTTTTCTAGATTTTAAAGCAGTACGAGCTATACTTTGATTGAGACCTCAACATTTCAATAATACCATGTTTGGTGCTTAATACGAGCGGAGCAAAAAACTTACAATTGTGCCGTAAAATTAAGAGTCAAGGCTGTTCTTTCACACTATTTTAAAGCTTTTTTTCTAGATTTTAAAGCAGTACGAGCTATACTTTGACTAAGATCTCAACATTTCAATAATACCATGTTTGGTGCTAAATTCGAGCGGAGCAAAAAACTTTCAATTGTGACGTAAAATTAAGAGTCAAGGCTGTTCTTTCACTCTATTTTCAAGCTTTTTTTCTAGATTTTAAAGCAGTACGAGCTATACTTTGATTGAGACCTCAACATTTCAATAATACCATGTTTGGTGCTTAATACGAGCGGAGCAAAAAACTTACAATTGTGCCGTAAAATTAAGAGTCAAGGCTGTTCTTTCACACTATTTTAAAGCTTTTTTTCTAGATTTTAAAGCAGTAAGAGCCATACTTTGACTGAGATCTCAACATTTCAATAATACCATGTTTGGTGCTAAATTCGAGCGGAGCAAAAAACTTTCAATTGTGCCGTAAAATTAAGAGTCAAGGCTGTTCTTTCACACTATTTTCAAGCTTTTTTTCTAGATTTTAAAGCAGTACGAGCTATACTTTGACTGAGACCTCAACATTTCAATAATACCATGTTTGGTGCTTAATACGAGCGGAGCAAAAAACTTTCAATTGTGCCGTAAAATTAAGAGTCAAGGCTGTTCTTTCACTCTATTTTCAAGCTTTTTTTCTAGATTTTAAAGCAGTACGAGCTATACTTTGATTGAGACCTCAACATTTCAATAATACCATGTTTGGTGCTTAATACGAGCGGAGCAAAAAGCTTACAATTGTGCCGTAAAATTAAGAGTCAAGGCTGTTCTTTCACTTTATTTTAATGCTTTTTTTCTAGAT